CAGCATTCGCTGGCTGGGGAATTCTGGGAGTTGATGTCCAGGCATCTTCAAGTTGACAAGGTTGAGAAACACTGTTCTAGTCCCACTTTAGCACAAAGACAATTGGGTAACCCTGGGAAGCAGGAAAGGGCAAACTACGGTATTTCTGAAAAACCTTGTCAAGAAACCTGCAGGGATTAGTCCAGGTAGTAGCTAGGAATCAAAAACTGACCCAAAGGCATTAAATAAATAATTGTTTTACCAACTATTTAAGGAAATATAGCGAACTCTGGATCCCAGTAGCCTTCCTCAGCCTGGTATTCTCCAGACTTGGCATACTACTCTTACGTTTCCAACCTGTATAATTTGGGGATGTTGTTATTGAAGACTGGGAATTCTACAAATCACAAGGTCAACAGATCTGTTGGTCAGTTTAAATGTTTAAAATGCATTTTAAAAATGTAAATGGATTGTAGAATGCTGCATTTGCTTAACCAGCTCTTCTTCTTGGTATTTTCTGCTTTGAACACATCTAATCAGAAGACTTTCAGAGAGCTTCAGAGTAACGGTGAAAGTATCTGTGGTTGCTTTACAGCTTCAAGGATGGGATTTCAAAAGGGTGGGGGAAGCACTTTTGGGAGAGCAAACCACTTCAGATGATTTGTGCAATGATGGTGCAGCTGCTCTGATAAGAACTTACTATGCTTTCTGAAAGAAACGGGACGGCACTAAAAGGAGATACAGAAACCGAGCCAAGAATAAACTGCTTGCGGAGACAATGATGGATGCTAAAGCACAAAAATGGCCACAAATCAAGAGAGAGGAGGTTCAATCTTTGTACAAAAATAAATTATGAACTGTTATAGAGATATCGAAGAGGAGAAAGAGCATTGGCTGTAAAAGATCCTTACTATCAAACAAGCTGCAGAAGAGGATATCCAGATAGGGAGAGCCAGGCTGTTTACTAAGGAAGAGTCCCATTAATAAGGAAAAGATTACAACGAAACCTTCACACCTTCACACAGCCTTCCGTCAGAGCCCTTCTCAGTGGTACTGAAGCAAGAAAAATGTATGTCCAACATCTGGATGTGAAGGCAGCCCTCCTGTATTGAGACATTAAGAAAGGCATTTGTATGCAACAAACAGCACGGTTCAAATAACCTGGGAGAGCAGGATTCGTGTGCTAGCAATAAGGGAGCATTTATGGCTTGAGGCAAGCTGTTAGAGCATGGAGTGAAAAGCTAAACCAAATGCTTTTTTTTCCGAGAGCGCTTTATATGAGGTGAAGATGATCCTGGCTTATCCTTGAGATACAGAGGTAAGTTGATGAATAGTTGATTTCACTTTGAGCACCACAGATGAGAGGAATAGTCAAGAAATTATTGCCTACTTTAAAAAAAACAACANTAAAGAATCTAAAGAATTTTGGTTTTATGGCAAGATGGAACTATTTAGACGATTCTCCCGTGATTGCTGGAAAACGCTCTTGAGAAACCTGTCCCTGGAGGCTCTCAGGGTAAGTAGATCATAGGGGGGTCTATTAAAAGAAAAGGCAGGAAAATTCAACCCATCTGCCCAGCTGCGGAACTGAACGTGCCGAAATCCCTGGTCTGCATTCTATTCCAGCTACACAAACACTGTGCATTTACACTGATCAGAGTCTTTTTTATTCAATATTTATTAGTACCACCTGTCAGCTGTAACAATTTAGAATCAAACTCATCAAAGCACATTTCCGTTTTTCTTAATTAGACCTGCCTGATAGGTTATTCCTCTTTATCATGTGAGGCAACCTAGATATCAGGTTTCCTTTGAAAATTAACAATGACACATACACCGTTGCCAGGTTCTGGGCAAGAGCACCCCATATTTATCGAGTAATGATCTGGGCGATAAGCTAGATTCAATGATCACCTAGTTTCCCATATTAGAGTGGTCTGCAACTTGATATAGTCTTCCACATGCTAACCTTTTATGCTCTCCTAACCTTTCAATGCTCCTATCTCAGGCATGTCCAGTGGTTGCTAGGGGGTCATCGTTACAGTTTTAAATGTGACCAAGGCTCTTTCAACCACTTTTTCTCACTGTTTGTCTTGGCTAATTCTACAAATTGGACATTTAGGGCATTCCAAAATGGTAGAACTGAAGCGATAGAATTAGTTTATCCTTAAGCACAACTGGGTCCGTTTTGAATTAAACTCAACTCCAGGGT